GCCACAAGGACCACGTTTAGAAACGCTACCCTGGCGCTGTACGTCAGCAGATCGCAGCAGTGGCACCTCATGCCACTAATCTGCTCTCACGGCGCGATATATCATCCGGCGAGTCAGGTCGACTTCACGCCGAGGCATGCGGCATGTCGAGGGACGGCCAAGAAAAGACGGTGTTTAAAGTATGAAGAGGAGGAAAAATGACGACCACGGCAAGCGCGAACGTCGCCTGGCTTGGCCTGGCCTGATCAGGCGTGGAGCTATCTGAAAAATCGCTTCCATCGCTTGGGTGCGTGTCAGACAACGAGCGAGCCGGTAAAGAAGAAGACGGTAGGCAACCGTGGGGTCGATCCTTACGGCAAACAGTTGCCAAGCGATTTCACGAACAAATCGACCAGCTTACAGCAGCCTAGTCGAACAACCCTCAGGAGACCACGCGAGAGCGAGACGGCACGCTCCTGTAAGCGATGAATGCATCAGGACAACGGAGAAACGGCAAGTGGGGCACTTCACAGGGAAATGACGTCACAAACGAACATCGTGATGGTCAGCCGGAATGTGGACTGTCTACGACAGCCGTGAAGATCAGTCACTGACCATGGAAAGGCTAACGATCGGCACCCGGACCCTAAAGATCTCCCTGTCCTGTTCTCTGATTTACCTCCGAGTGTGACGTTCGTTCTAACTGCGCATGTCTCTCGAGAGAGCCTCGTCGTCGGACAATGGCAGACCCCGAACGTCATCTGGACCGATCTGCTAAAGTAATCAACGAGAAGCTCTACGGTACACGTGTACAACAACCGGTGTTAGTGTGTAAGTGGTCGATCAGTCGGAGGTGCGTCAAACGCGGTGGAGGCGCGGCGTGGCGAACGAGGAACCGAAAAAGTCCTATAGTAAATATGTGTTACTAAACAGACGAATTTCGCAACTGCGGTGGAATCGCACCTTTGGCCTGTTTCTAGTCGAACACTAACAAACCGGTCAAGTAGGCGATGACGGCGTTATGCCGTCTGCACAGCAGGGATGCAGAACCGCCCTGCTCCGTTAGGGCGAAAAAATATTTGACCACTAATAACAGTGGCCAGCATGCACGCACAGAAACGATCAAACTGACTCATCACATTCGAGGTTCATATGCACCGCAAGGGCCACACCACCTCGCAGTCTTCGCCTGTCGAACGTGTTCATTAAGCTGTCACAGGCGGCAACGGGACAGGACCGTTCGTTACGCGGCGCACAGACGAGGTTGTTGGTGTGCACCACTTTGTGACCGACCTCATTAAAGGTTTGCCTTCTCGTAGCCAAGACATCCAAACAAATTCAAATGTTGTGTCGATGAAGAACTTGACGTTCTGCGGACAGCGACTGTTCAGAACGTCCAGAAGCACGACGGTTCGGTGCCTCTTGCGCTGAATGCTGGTAGCTGGTTGTTTCGTTCATGCATCGGGGGTGCATCGATGCCGAAAAAACCCCCCAAAACGCGCCTTATCAATAAACGACGCAAAATATGGCCAATCATCTGCGATTGACAGGTACCGACGTGTTTTCAGAGCAAACCGTGCGCGTTCAGGCCACGCATGAGATCGCAGGAACCGGAGAATTCTGATGTAAAAAAAAGAAAACTTCCATGACCCACGGTGACAAAGAAAAAGCGCGAAGCGACGCGACGTTCGTCTGTCACTTAATTGAAATGACCCGTTTTGCACTCCATTAAAGCGGCTGCGAGCTGCCAGCCATTTGTCGTCTGTTCCTAAAATTCTCGCCGCCTCGCTCCACCCTTTTTCCAATCTCCGCAGTCATTTAAAAAAATTAAAGAATTTAAAACGTGATTAATTTCAAAAAAAAACTTGATGGATCACGCGTTCAGACGCTTGTTTAGGCACCGAAAAAACGACCGCTAATACGCGAGTTCAGAACAAGTAAAACCACTCAAGTACCTTCAATAATCGTCGACATACGTTTTGCTCACAAAATGCCGAAACAGACTTCTAACGGGAAGAAGTGCGCAACTAAGCCGCTTTCGAAACATAGATCTTGACAGCACAGGCTGTAGGCATGGATTTTAGACGCCACGGAGGGACACTGTTCGAAAGTCTACGATCCAGAAATCAAAAGCCGGCAACGACAGACTCTTCTAAAAGCACCTGGTGGTACGACGATCATCGACAGTCTTCGGCGGACCGCATTTTAAGACCCTCGTTTATGAGCCGGTGGGTGCCATCCATTCGGCTGCTCGACTACTCACGGCAGTGGTTTCGCAACGCCATGCGCATGCAGCAGGAGAGACTCAGATCCGCTGGCAAAGTAGCATCGGCCTAGAGTATTAAACACCCGGTGGCGCCTTAAATTCAAGTACGTGGAGGTTGTCGTATTGACCGATGGCCACTAAAATCCGAAAAACCTCCTAATGCTGCCGGATTCAACTATCCGAAACGAATAACGGTCTCTGTAAAAGAATGGATGAAAACTTTTTGTTGTTGAGGTTATTAAGATAAGCTGTTAACGGTTATCAGCAGTTTTACAACCTCTAGCTTGATGACGAAATGCACGCCTTTGCAATAAGTCTCGAAATGTCATCGGAGCAGTTGAGCAGCAACGCGAAACTCAACGACCTCCTAACTGCGCAACTCAGCTTAACCTCACGTCGTAATCGAACAAGGATTTCATGACGGAGTGATAACGACGAAAATCCGTCATAAACCGATAAACGGCCTGTTGACGAGGACCGCCACATCTTTCTATGACTTGAGATTAAAGCAAACCGATGTAGGGTTGAGTCCGTTTTAACATTACCTCATAATAAAAGTTTGGCAGTCAATCACCTCGTTTTCAAAGCTGTTCCCAAAGTTGTTGCCGTCGCCGCCTTCAACATCCGAAACTCGAACAACATGCACGTCCGCATTTGTACACGTCTTATCTGGTAAAGATGGTGCCCCATCAGCTTTGCCGTCATCCTGACGCTTATACGAAAGAACTGGAGAAGTTGCACAACCGCCGGCATGTCTGAGTCGCTTACACTTCCATGACGAGTGTCATTTCCGGTATTCTTATTTCCATCGAGCTTACCGGATTTCCATTACAGACCTGAGCACGGTTTATATGCCAATAGAACTCGGGAGTACCTCATTTTAAAGGTAATCTCCACGCTATGCGGCAAATACGGTGGGAATCGTCCATCCACCTCGGAAGGATGGACGGCGAGTGACCGGCCTCGTAGCCTCTCCGCTTGAGGTCGAACGTTTTAGTCAAGGCGTAATCGCGGTCAGGTCCCAAAGAAACTACGGCGAAATATTTAATATTTAGTACGACATTCGTAACTGGGCGAAGAGAAATCTGACGGAGCCACAATATGAAAGACATGTCGATGACCAAACCGACGAAATCCAGAAAATAGTCTGAGAGAAATGCATGCATTTTTACGCGATTACGAATACATGTACCTCGAACGATGGCACAAAGTTAAGTCGCATGAGAATTGAGGAGGGTCCGGAGGGAGGAGGGGACTGTGGCGAAGTCTCCTGTAGGAAGTAGCCGGCGGCTGTATTCATGAAACTGACGAGTCAACGGCAGTGTGCATTTGCTAATGCTTCGCTGCTGGTTTTGTCGGTAGACAAACCGTCACTCAAAGTATTCGGAAGACCAAAGGTGCTGCGAAAAAATACTCAGCAAAAGCCTGCGTATTCTAGTGACAATTTTAAACAATTGTAGGACCATCCTCAGAAAGTTCCATGAACTTAAGGCGCTGTTCGTCATGCCGTTTTTCAACAACAACAACAACAACAACGAGTGTCATCTTCTAGAAGAGATATGGCCACGTTATAAACGGACAACGATAATGTCCTCCGCTTGGACGACTTCGCTTGTCAAAGCCTCGATCGTGCCACGAGCCTCTGCTCTAGCTGAAACGCATACACATCGAAAACAGCAGCTTGTGCTGTTGCTTTATATCTGTTTGTTTATCACATCCAGGTTCCATCTATCGCTCGACGTTCATGTAAGAAATTCCGAATTATTGACTGACCGAAGAAAAAACGCACAACAGCAGGGATAAGGTTTTACCTCATCAAATGAGTGAGTGAAAAAACGCAAAGCCGAGTCAACGTTATTGCCAGATAACAAACTGGTTTAACTCATTCCTGAGTGACAGTCGCGTTTCACTCATGTCGTCAGAACGTCAGAACAAACGTTACGTTCCAGAGGATTAAATGCAGTTTCACTCGGTAGCTTTCAGCATTTCGCTCTTTCAAGGACGATGAGTAGTCAGACTAGCACGTGTTTTCCCAAGGTAATGGTTTTCGATTAAAGTTTGGTTTAAATATTAGTTTATTTAAATAAATTAATGGCTGCGATTTGGTGAGAGTGTACCTGTCCTCATGTAGTGTGCTATTAGCCTGTAGGCTCTGTTCATGTAAGGCATACGAAGCGCCCAAAGTACGACGGCCATTGCCACTGGTGTTACCGAAACATCAGCTTCATTTTTCGAACCACTTTTTGCTCCATCATCACATAACAGCAAAACGCAAGATGATCACGGCGAGTGTGTACGAAAACGGTGCTTTGTACCGTAAAATACAGCACACAAACATTTTGACTACACACAGAACAAAACAGCCAACATCCAGTGATAGACGAATGTGAAGGTTTCTGCCGACAGACCATCTGC